CAATGGCACCAAAGCCACGCCCCCCGGGTGCAGTGTGATCGCTCGCACTCGAACGCATGGCACATCAATGCCTGCGTTCTGGTCTGGTTTGGTCAAAAAAATAGTGCATGCAGCAAGGACTGCCACGCCCGCTCCCGCCCCTAAACGCAGGGAGCCGGCCAGGATGCGATCCAGTGCATTCTGGCACCAAATCGGGCCGTAACGGACTGTTTGTTGTGTGAACTAGCCCTAAAGATGCTCAGTGCCTTTGTCTGTTAAGCTCGCCATACACCTATAGATTTTTGTGAATTTTCATTGCTACCAAGAACCCTCTTTTGATTCGAAAAAAGTTTTCCGGCCGCACCCTTTGAGAAAATTCAGCCAGGAGTACAGTAAAAAAAAATTGTTGGGTTCCCATCTATTGATTGATTATCATACAAAAGACTATTCGAGGATGATTTCCGAACGATAATCGATAGGTGTATGGGCACCTGTACACTGACAGCCCCTAGAGAGCACACCTATAAAATCTGTTTTATACAATCACCGTGTAGAAACATTGAACAGCATAAACATGTGACAGTATTACAACAATAGCTAAAAAAAGAACGCTTGCTAATAAAGACAGTTTATAGTTTTAAAAAAAAAAATACTTAAAAAAAAAAAAAAGTGATTATTATTATCATTTGCTGAGCACATAAAATTCCTGTAAGTGCAAATCTGTATTTTATTTTTCAAACCATGAAACAATGCATAAGTTGTATATAGCTGGTGGAAGAGCTGCAGTATTTAATAAGTCCCTGTAGAAGGAGTGAATTTACAAAAAGGCCATTCGGTCTGCAGCTGCTCAAGAGTTTGGATCGCCGAGCAGAAAAATCAACAAATACGGAATGCCAAGAAGCTTTTTAAGTGGGATTTGTGGATTACAGATCAAGCTGGAAGGTCATTTTTGCTATACAGGATGGGGACTAAAATATCTCCTAGGTGGCCGTGTGTGAGAAGGAGCATGAGGAATCGTTTCATTTCACAGGAAAATTCTCTCAAATTATCCTCCGATATATCATATTTAATAGGGAGGGGAAATACTATAGCTTCTCTTTCCCTCTTTTAAAAGTCAAGTCCATTCCTATAGATGGGCTCCCGTGGCTCTCCGCCCCCCTACCGTCCAAGATTAGAGACCATCCACTGATCGCCGCCACCATTCGTTCTGCACGCACAGTACTGCGCAATACACCACTGGCTCCCACCCCGTCGCCACTGACACCTGTAATAGGTGATCCCGACTTTGCCCCAGGTGCGGAAAATGCACGACTCACTCGCTTAGTGATTGCAGACAAATACAGAGTGAGGGATTTCCGGACAGCATCTGACTGGCTTACCACTCAACTCTGCAATTCTCTGTACCCACACCTTTTTGTTCTCTCTCTCCCCTTTCCTCTTGCATCTCTTTTATAAGGTTATTTACGAAAATAAACACTAAGGTTGAGTTCGGTGGTTCTGCCGTTCACACGACCCCCCTTTTCATCCCAATTGCAAGGTACACATAGACGATATGCACAGCTATACGATTTTATAATGAATGCTCAGGTAACCTATCTACGGGGGGTAGTCATCGTCATCAGATTCTGATCTCTGGGTATTTTATGGTTATTCTAGCTCTTGGAACATTCCAAGGGTACAAAAGAATGCATTGTATTTCAGATATCTTTGTAATGATGCCTGTGTTTTGTGTATTCTATGCATGTTCAGTCAATAAACAAATGTAAAAAAGAAAAAAAAAAAAAAGTCAAGTCCACCATCTAAGGGCATATTCACACCACAACGCACAGAAAACGCACACAATGCGCACGCATGTTGAGGCATGTTGACCTCGCACGCATGTTGAGGCATGTTCAGGCAATTTTTCAGTATTCAGCGCTGCAATACTTTGACTGACGTTTATTCCGTCATGCAACGCTGTACTGAAATTAATTTTACACCATTTTTTGGGGACAGATAGAGCTTTCTTTTGGTGGTATTTAATCACCACTGGGGGGTTTTATTTTTTATTATAATTAGGAAAAATTACTGAAAATTTTGAAAAAAAAAACGTTTTTTTAACATTATGTTAGGAAACATTTATTATTAACCAGTTTTTTGGTCAAATATAAAAGATCGGGTCACGTCGGTTAAATAGACACCAAACATGTCAAGCTTTAAAATTGCGCGCACCCGCGACATCGCAGAAAACGACCACAACCAAAATTAGCCATAGGCGACGCTTTAAATGTTTTTACATTTTTCTGTATAGGCCACATCAAGGGTGACAATTCGACCTTTTTTGTAATGTTTGCGTTGGCGCACGTTGATACCTTCTTGTGCACTGCACTGCATAAGTATGCATGCCTGCCTTTTAACTCAACATACACCAACCACATAGGGTGTGGACAGGGCATATAGAGAACAGTTGTTTTCTCTGTGTCCTTGTGTTGTCCTTGTGTTGATCAAAGCAGCTCAATGGATGTGTTGTGAATAAGCCCTAACACCATGCCTGCATACAAAGGATACATGATCACCAGCTTCCACACACAGAGAAAAAAAGCCCTGTAATGCGTCAAAAATGCATCAAAACGCACTGCACCGCATTTGCAGAAATGCGTACAGATCTGGTCTGGACATGGTGTGAACACGCCCCTTAAAGGAGAACTATGAGGTGAGTGCTTTCCACTCACCTCATAGTTCTAGCCGACCTGTGACAATGAGACTGTCACAGGTCGGCTCAGTAGATCAGGGGAAGTGAGCGAACACATACCGGCGTTCGCTCACCTCTCGATCCTGTCACGGCTCTCTGCCGTGACAGGGGAGGGGCTGGATTCCCCTCTCC